ACCTGTTTACCTGTCACTATGCTGCTGATCTCTGCTCACAGTTTAAACACGTTTTCTGGTTTGTTTGCGGCAGACGTTCATTTTTTTTTTTACTGGTTTAACTGGAAACTAGTTTCTGCTCAAAACAAACAAAAGTCGTGTTTGACAGAAAAACTGGAGTCAGACCGTCTGTGTCGTCATGGAAACCAGGTAGCTAGACAGGAGGTGGGCGGAGCCTGTAGTCATGGTGACGTGTCAGCTTCAGAAAACATGAACGACTCAGCTGATCGATCAGCTTCAGCGACATAATCCATGAGCCGATCGATCGATTGATTATTTCATGTGGCTGAAGTGAATCGATCAGGTGACTTATTACGAGTCACGACTTCATCAGGAAGCAAAATGAAACCCAGACAGGAAGCTTCGTCCAGCGTCGCTCGAGCGTCTGAAGCTCATTCTGTGGATTCAGGAGTTTAAACAAGACGACGTGAAGCCTGACCGAAGCCTGACGGAGGCTGACGGAGGCTGAAGGTTCATCAGACGCTGAACGAACGCAGGAAACAGACAAAAACATGGAGTTAAACCACAGAGTTAGACTCTTTGACAAGAACCGGTCAGAACAGAGAACTTGTCTGGAGACGCAGACCGGTTCCTCAGACGGACAGAGTTCTCAGTTTCACATCCATTTGAGAGCAAAAGAAAAGCTTTGAACGGTTCGTTTCATACAAAAGGTCATGAAGTCAAACTGAAGCAGTTCAAGTCTGAAGTTTTTATGTTTCTAATCATGAAAACGTCGACGTACAGTTTAAAATCACGTCGTCTGAGTTTGACCTCATGAACATGAACTGACGCTTCGGCATCAAACAGCTGACAAAGGTTTTCATGTTCATCAGTATTCAGTCACAAATTAGCATTTTTAAACTCTGTGACTATTTTGTCGTAAATGTGTAGTTTTTACCGACACGAGGCGACGAACGAAGGCGTCGTCGAGTTTAACGACAAAGTTCGATGCTGTTTGAGATGTTTTAGTGTTTTGTCGTGTTTCAGATTCTCACCTGCCTCCTCGCCGACCGTCAGGATGAGCGCCGATGCCCCGCCCCCGTACCGCCCCCACCTGTCCGACGTCGTCCCTCCAGGTTGGTGCTCGTTTGAATTAAAACTTGGTTTCAGCCGAAGCGTCAAATCTGTGCTGATGAGCAGAAACAAAGAGCAGCAACCAGCCAACATGGCCGCTGCAGACCCCGCTGCTGATTGGACGGCTGGGAACAGGTGAGGTGGGCGTGGCTGTCAGGTGGCAGGACGTGTGAGGACACCTGGTGGCCGGACGGAGAACTGCAGGTGTGACGCAGAAAACAGTTCAAACTTCTGAACCAGCTTCTGAGCTTCATGTTTCATGAAAGTCCTGCAGCTCTGCGGAACCAGAACCGCATGAAGCAGGAGACAGAACCAGAAGCTGATGGGGCTCCAGCAGACGTTTGATCCAAATGGAAGAACTCGTTTCATTTGAGTCTGTTTTCTCTTGAAGACATTTGTTCTTATATGAGCTTTTTATCTTAAACCCTGATGCCTGCAGATATTCACACTTTACTCTTGAAGTGTTAAATGTTTTTATGAACATTATGATGAATAACGAAGGCGGTGAAATCTGATGAAGATCCTCAAAATATTATGATTTTATTCTAATGAATTTTTACATGAATAAACGTTCCCGCCGTTCCTCTGAACTGTTCACGTTAACCGTCGGTAACTTCGGTGAACTTTTCGTGTTTAAGTGCTGGAGCTGTTTACATGTCGTGATCATGTGACCTGTTGTTTCCTTACAGCTCTCAGCTCCTTCCCTGGCGGCGCCCCCTACCAGGTACCCATCATGCACTGCAGCACCCTCCTGAGATGACTTCATTCTGAAATATTCCAGCTTGTTACAGATCTGGAAACGTTTGAGGATAAAATATTTTCTGGTTCTGAATTTCTTCTCCAAATATCAAAACTTTATTGATATAAAATCACGACGTTTGTTTTTCGTGACGTTTTTCTCTAAACGTCTGAGCAGACGGAGGATCTTCTGCTTCCATCTTTACAACAGAAACATGAAACATGTTCGTAAAGCAAATAACTGTAAATACGAGACGTTGTGTTGAAGAGAACCAGAACCAGAACCAGAACCAGAACCAGGTCAGTCTGTTAAAGGACTTAAATCACAGCCAACAGCCAGGAAGTGATGTCACAGAATGAAGTCGCGACTGAAACGTGTTTGATAACGTGTTTAATTAATTTTACTGAGAATCAATCTGAACCAATCATCTCTGCGTCACCATGGCGACTGTCTCCTCTGCAGACCTTCCCTCAGATCTACGCTGGCGGCGGAGACTACACCTACTACCACGGACATCCGGGCCTCACAGGACCGGTGCCGCCTGGGTACCAGAGCGGCCCAGTTGGACTCCCGGTGACGCCGCCAAAACACACAGGTGTGTTTCCTTCTAATGTGAGGCTTTGTGGGAGATCTGGGACACGATGTGGATCTTTACGGAACCACAAAAACCAGTTGGTTGATGATATGATCAGAACTTTAACCCTCTTTGCACCAGCACCTGTCCTGGTTTCATTACAAACATCATTTATCAGCCTTAAACAGTGCGAACAAAGAACCGTCTGTAATGAACTCTGTTTCTGTGAACGTGGACACGACCAGCTGTCTGATCATCTGCTTCTCTGCCAGTGTATGTTGTGGAGCGACACCAGGACCAAGATGAAGATGGTGGTGCTGCCTCGTGTCTGGCGGCTCTGTGCTGCTGCTGCCTCCTGGACGTACTGGCCGACCACTGACCTGCTGCTGATTGGACCAGAGCAGAGCTGCTCCTCTAGCAGAACCCTTCATGGTTTATTTCATGTGTCATGACAAACATGAGCTTTGAGGACCTCCAGCCAGAGCTGCTGATTGGTCTGTTAGCCTCCAGAAATAAACTTAAAGTTGAACTGAAACGTGTTTTTCTTGTGTGAATTAAATGTGATTAAAGAGACATCCTGGAACCTGAGCAGCAGCTTCTCATCTCCACCACTGAGGTCTTTGCTCGATCATCAGATGTGAGTGGCTCTTAAAAGAGCCGTTATTTCCAGTGTGACGTGTATCCGGAGAGTCTAAGCTCTCTCTCCGCGGATGCGGCGGGCCAGCTGGATGTCTTTGGGCATGATGGTGACCCTCTTGGCGTGGATGGCGCACAGGTTGGTGTCCTCGAACAGACCCACCAGGTAGGCCTCGCTGGCCTCCTGCAGAGCCATGACGGCCGAGCTCTGGAAGCGCAGGTCGGTCTNATGTCGCTGACGAACGAGTTCATGATGCCCATGGCCTTGGACGAGATGCCGGTGTCGGGGTGCACCTGCTTCAGCACCTTGTACACGTAGATGGCGTAGCTCTCCTTTCTCTTGTGTCTCCTCTTCCTGCCGGTCTTGCTGGCTTTGGACGCGGCCTTCTTGGAGCCTTTCTTGGGCGCTGGCTTCGATGGTTCTGGCATTTTCAATGAGCTTCCAGTGAAACTATAACCGCTTCCGCAACGCCACACTGTTCTTATACGCGGCTCATGCAAATAGAACTGCGCCGTTGCTCGCATCTGATTGGCGGACTCAATTTGAGTCCGAGTGAGCATGCGCAGTAGAGAAGTCGCCTTGAAATAGAAGTGTCTCTGATCAGACTCCTGCTGCTGAAGGGTTTTATAGATAATATTCAGAAAATATTCACAACGAGCAGGTTCTAAGAAGCCTGCCGACTGTAAAAGGAGTCTATATTTCAACAAATGCAACTGAACTCATTTCCACGTGTTTCACATGAAGAGATTTTTTCCATCCTGACATTTGCATGTTCCTCTCTCAAAGTCGACATAAAACCAGCACAAGGAGGTTCACTTGTTTGTTGATCTGCGTTCCGTTCTGACAAAGAGCCCCACAGTTACCACCAATAAGCTGAGTTTACTCATGAAAGTAAAGCTGCCATTATTACTTCCTAAGGTGACGTTTTAATCACTTTGATAACTGATTCTTCAGTTTGAGTCTTGTGTCTTTTAAACTGCTTTAGTTCAGCAGAGACACCGCTTCCATCCAACCACGTCAAGTTCCAAAACAGAGAAGCAAGTACGGGTCAAAATCCAAGACTGGAAATGTGTCCAGAATGGTGGGACGTAAAGCAGGCAGAGGACATGGAGCTGGTTTAAATACAGAGTGTAGAAGAGTGAAGGAGTCCCAGGTGTGTGGTGGAGGTAGCAGGTGGACCATCGGAGTGTCTGCAGCTGAAGGTCTGTGGACACTCGCGTGGACACCTGAGGGTCTGCAGGAAAACATTCACATTTATGACGGTTTGAGGACCTGCATTCAGAGATGAACACACTCTCCGCCAGAAGAAATTAGAGGTAGATTCAGTGTAACACCTCCTAGTTGAACATTTAATACGGAGAGCTGAAGCCAAATGATTGAAAAACCAACAAAAGAACGATATGACAACGGAACAGCTGCAGGTGTCTTGGTGGTTAGCACCGTTAGCGCCTCACAGCTAGAAGGTCGCCGGTTGGCGTCCCGGTGAGGACACCCGGGATCTTCCTGNCTCCTCCTCCACAGCAGCTGCTGTATTCTGTACGTTCTGGTTTAAACTCTGGTTTATTTTATGCTTAAATAACCGCTCAGAGGTTTGATGTTTTATCATTCGTTTTTCATATTTAATGCCTTCCTTGTCTTAAAGGCTTTTTTTTTTTAAACACCATGGACAGCTTCCTTGCCTGACAAAAAAAAAAAAATAAAATCCATTGTTTTGCACTCAGAAAATGTCACAATGAGAATGAAAACCTTCACATGCTCCGTTTGTTTTTGGCTTTTGATCCAAAGAAATGCAACCAGGAGGCCAGTTAGCTGTGAAGAAAATGTACAGATTAGATTTCATCCACATCTTCCTTCTGCCTCTTTTATGTTAAAATAGAAACTGGAGATCTAATGACGTTTATCAGCAGATTACTATTATAACACTGCAGACTGCTGATTAAACATGTCACACAGATGATCAAATATTATAATGGTGATAAGTGACAGAATCGGGTTCTGCTGAGTCGCCTTTGTGTCTGCAGTCACAGTTTTCAGTTTGAATGCAGCAAGGCAGTGATATTTAAATAAAACAGGGTGCATAGGAGCAGATTTAACATGGAGTAGTTTAAATCAGTTTCCTCAGGCTGTGTAACGAACATGAATATAAAGAGAACGACATCAAACAGCAGCTTTCAGTCTGCATGTGAGACGCTTACTGAATCCTTTCCAAAACAAACTTTGTTTTTTGTCCTTTTCTTCTACAATGTTTCTAATAACACAGTGCTAGCATTTCAAAATGGTCCATATCAAGGAACTTTATGTATGTATTTATTTACTTGTTTATTTATTTACTTGTTTATTTTCTTTACAGGGTTTAGGCACAAGATAGTTTTATTGCTCTGAGTCCTGTCACATAAACTAATTTGCTGTTTAAATCCATGGTAGTTATTTCGTGTTGACTTTACAGAAACAGTTGTTTATATGTTCAAATAATCGATATTTTCACCAAAATTTCCTAAACAGGAAGACAAGCTATGTTTTCTATCACAAAAAGCCTTTTTTCATTTAAAGCGGATCCAAACTATTTCACAACAGGAATGAAATTAATTCATGAAAACAACCTTTTTTAAATGATAAAGTTTGAACCAACTCTTCTCTAAACTTTTATTTTTGAGCCTTCTCTAGTGTGGCCCAGACTTTTCTTTTTTAGTCTCCATGTGCCGGACTCGGGGCTCGATGAGACACGACATCCTCTAACAGGGACCACAGGACGACGTGAGGCCAGAAAAACCAACACCTCGTGAAACTAAAGGCTGCTCGTGAAGCTGCCTCACCTGTCTGCTGGCTGATGGAGGCTCGGTGCTCTTCTTCATGCGCTGAACTCGTTTCTTGTACTTTTAGTATTTGCTTTGCTTTTTCACCAGAACTTCTTTCTGAAGCTCCTTCACTGTCTTCATCCTGCCTGACTGCATTCATCTCGTTCCTTCTCTCTCTGGTCAGCATCACGTGGAGCACGATAGCAGTGGGTTGGTTCCCTGTCAGCTGGTCTCCACATAGATGTGAACAACTTCACTACATCAGACAACAACACTTAAATCAGGTCAGGTGTCATCAGTGGTATTACAGCTGTAGCTAAAGCCCGGCCTGGTGTACTGATGTTTCATGAAGCCTTTAATTATGTTCAGCCTTTCACTTCCGTGATTGAACACAATTCCTTTCCATATTGTGTATCTCCAGAAACACCGTAAGAGCTGAAGAAATAAAGGACAGCTCTTTCAAAAACACTGAAGTTACACAGAGAAATCCATCACATTCCCGCGGTGGCTAATCATTAGAAACTAGCTTAAAACTAGCTGAATACAGAAACGTTTCAAACGAAGTTCAGTTCAAAACTATCTTTCCCATTCTTTAACAAATAAATTCATAAAACATTAGAAAACAAATACCTTGTTCTCACTACAGCCAGGTGCTCAAAATACAGACAGAGAAGCTTCACGTGCCTCGTTTTGCTGCAGCTGTCAATTCACTGTCTCTTTGGCGCACATGACAGACCAAACAGGAAATACTTCAAAATAAAACAGGAAATTGAAAAGTCAGCAACACGATAAACAAACACATTCAATTCAAATTAAAATAATAACAATAGACCTTAATGAGTCATGTGCAACAGCAACTAATATTAACACTAATTAATCAGAAACTAGAATGTGTAACTNGTTCAAATGAAAACGGCTTCAGCTATACTGGCTATGAAACGCCCTCTGTTGAAATGGAAGAGCTTATTAGAATCCACAAAGTAAATCAAAAATGTGATTTTTCGGAGAGTAAAGACTGTGTCAGCGCTTCCATACCGGTCCAACACTGTTTAATCTGTGGTACCGCTTGGAATCGTCCTCAGGAGACAACATAGTTACGCTGACGACACACAGCTGTACATCGCCGTGTATCCTGGTGGCCAGCTGATGCTCTTTTAACTGTATTTAGACATTAAGTCGTGGATGGCAGAGAACTTTTTACAGCTCCATCAGGACAAAACGGTGGTTCTGGTCACTGGAACTGAAGCTCAGACAGACGAGCTCAGTTCACAACCACAAGCTCTGGCATTAAAACCATGAGAACAGGTTAAACATCTTGGACTCAGCAGTCAGATTTGAGCCCCACATTAAAAATATAACCCAGATGTGTTTTATCACAAAAAACACTGTCAGACTGCGACCAGTCCTCCCTAAAACTAATACAGAGACTTTAACAGATGCTTTTATGACATGCAGCACTGATTACTGTCACGTTCTCCGCTCTGGTCTCCAAAAGAAGTTCTAACGGAGACCAGAGCAAAGCTCACGTTACACCAGCTCCATAGTCTCTGCTTGTCGTCTCTTTTGGAATTGACCTTAAGATCCTTTCATTAGTTTATAAAGGTCCTCGTGGTCTTGGTCCTTCGTATTGATCAGATTAGCTTTCATTCTATGAACCCTCAGGTCTTCTGGTCGTGGCTTCTTAATCCAACCTGAAGCCAGAACATCAACCTTTAGTCAGGTAGCATTTTGTTAGACATCAGTGGAAGAGCAGAAGACCTGAGGACAGCAGAGTGTCGATGGTTTCAACAGCAAACTCATCAATCTACCTTTTAATCAGGCTTTTGATTGATTTGATAGATTTCATGTACGTATTCCTCTTCTTAGTAATAATTTTATGTATTTACTTTTCTATTTATTCACCTATTTTAGTCCATTTAATGTAGTTTATTGCTTCATTTTCATCATTTCTTATTCTGTTAATCTTTGTTTTCTACTTTTAGTCTATCTCCATCTATCCCTATTATAATAATAATAATAGATATTTGATTTATTTTATTCTAGTTATTTATCTTATTTTATTTAATTTTATCTCATCTGCTGTTTCCTGATCACGTGTGTTATAGAGGACAATGTGAGGAGTGGTTGAACTGTATTATTGCATAAAGTCTGATTGATTGATTGATTGATTGATTGATTGATTGATTGACTGATGGATTGATTGAAAATATAGTGAAGTCATAAAAAATGGTACAAATTTTCACATTTTTCAACACAAGAAACTATTAACTGGTCATTGATCAATTTATTATTGTTTAGAATACAGAAAGTAATAAAGTTCATCCAGATTGTCAAAGAAAAACAGACTTTAGTTCTGAACAGAACACTGAGGAATTCATTCCGCTGGTCAGTTATATAGAGTTCTGTACAGTTTAGTCTTTGGCACTGTCCTGCCTTCCTTAAGCACACTGCACATGAAGACAGTAGCTTCAACACCTCTCGCTCATCACCACTCTGGACACCAGGATGACTGCTCGTACCCAGGTTTATTGACAATTGAAAGGGTGAAACTAAAGGAATACAAAAAATACAAAAACTCAGAATGGCCACAAAATGGCAGCATAAGAACACGAATGAAATCATCGCCCAAGCCAACCGGCAGGAGCCAAACATGACTCATGAATCTTTACATATTAAACCATGAACTTTCCACCATAGAAATGAACCAAATATCATTATTAAACATAGAAGAAAGTTACATACCGACGATGCCACGAACAGACAAGATGTAACTGGTCGTTTTTCCAGAACACAGGAGAGAAAGAAGCTGCGTTTCCCATGCAGGCTTACTTCCTGAATCTCAGTCACATGACCTACCTACTTTCTTAAAGCGGCAGCTCACCGAACAACCCAACTGAATTATTTAGAAATAAACACACTAAAGTAAAACTTAAATAACAGAGGCATGACAGGCACATTTTCATACAGTTTAATAAAAAGACATTTTCTCAGCAGGACCTGAAGTCTTTGTCTCTGACCACCGTTCATGAATAGAGAAATATCAAAATAAAAGGAAATTATTTTTTTTTTAAAGTGTCATATGAAAGTATGTTGTGAAAAATAAAATGTCAGAATATCATGTTTTCAGGACAAAAAATATAAAAGATCAGGATGCTGTAAAGATTTTACTACAGACGTCATGTTACAGTTTATTATATCATCTGACTGGAAGCTGACAGGATAGTTTGTTGTAAAATAATGTCATAGTTTAATGTTTTGTTAAAACCTTGAATCTAAAACATGTTTCTGAGTGACAGAGACATGTAGAGACTGAACCATCTGTTCAACAGGGAAACTGTTTCTCTACCAGGAGGAGACTCTGGATACTGAACTCAACACAGAAACACTGAGGAACCAGACGACCAGAACCCAAATCCAGGATACAGAGGTTCAGTGAATGTGGTGTTGAAGGTGTGGAGGTGGATCAGAGAGTCAGAGGAGACTCTGTAGAAGGACAGAGTTCCAGCAGGACAGTCCACATAAACTGATACTCTCTTGGAGACTGAAGACCTGATGGGTATTCCTCTGTTATTGTGACTGACAGAGAAACCTTCATAATACAAATAATCAGAGCAGTTCAGACTCCAGGACTGATCATTACGTCCAAACACACAGTCTTCACTGCCTCCTCTCCTTCTGATTCTTCTGTAACTCACTGATATTTTAACCTCTCCTCTCCACTCGACCTCCCAGTAACAGCGACCAGTCAGACCAGTTCTACACAGCAGCTGAAGCCTGTCAAACCTGTCTGGATGATCAGGATACGACTGATCTTGGCCCACATATGTCACCTTCCTGTTGTTTTTAGACAGTTTGAGGTTTCTGTTTACTGTGTTTGTGTCGACTGTGAGTTCACAGGAATCTGATGGAGAGAACAAACACAACACAGCTGCAGTTATTGATGGATCATGTGATCAGTAT